GAGGGAGGGAGGGAGGGAGAGAGAGAGAGAGAGAGAGAGAGAGAGAGAGAGAGAGAGAGAGAGCCAGAGACAAGATCTCTCACTGGCCTAAAGCTTGCCAAGTAGGCTAGGCCAGCCAGTGAGAACCAGGGACCCATCTCCTGCTGCTTCTCTAGCCCAGAATTAAAGCCCATAAACCCACCTCACCTCATCCAGTGGGGACCATCCTCTAAAATGTGCATGGCAAACATTTTATTGACTGAGCTATCTCAATGGCTCATGATAGGCTTTGTTGTTTGTTTGCTTTTGTTTTGTTTGAGACAGTGTCTCTAAGTAATCCTGCCTGTCTTGGAATACACAGAGATACACCAGCCTCAGCTTCCTGGGTGCTGAGATTAAAGGTGAGCACCACCATGCTCAGCCAAGAAAGGCACTTTTAAAGGGACAGTAACATGCTACAACCTCAGTGTGTTTTAAGCAGCGAAACTCCACAGCCTGGATGGGGCAGTTACACAGAAAATCCACTCTGACACAAGGTGAGCCACTGCACTCAGATGTAAACATAGGACACTGACACACATGCATGTTGCAGGATATTCCTTTACACTGTGTGAAGATGTGTCATTGTGACTGGTTTAATAAAGAGCTAAATGCCATTAGCTAGGCAGGAAGAGGTTAGGCAGGACTTTTGGGGACAGAGGACTTAGGAAAGAAGAAGGTGGAGTCACCAGCCAGACATAGAGGGACCAAGACATGCAGGAGGAGAGGTAAAAGCCATGAGTCACATGGCAACACATAGATGAACAGAAGTGGGTTAATTCAAGTTATAGGAGCTAGTGCAACAAGCCAAAGCTAAGGCCACGCTTTCATAATGAATAATAAGTTTCCTTGTCATTTTTTTATGGGCTACACATGCATGTGGTCAAGGGTTTTATGACATCTTTTGATTCTGAAATTTGAAGGCACGGTCACTACAATGGTACTTAACATAAGCACTGCTTTTGCATGCCATATCCTGGGAGAGGCATGAAATAATGGCTTGGCTTGGCCAGAAGCCCACTGGTACAGAGCCCTGTTACAGGCTGTGGTCCCACGGGTAGCAGAGGAGTCTCAAAAGCTGTCAGTGGCACATCCTGAAAGAAGCTGAGTGGACAGGCCAGCTAGATGCCTTTTGGACTTGGCTTTCTAAAGGGAGTCTCCCACGTCTACACCCAGACTGGCCGAGGGGCTGCCATGCACCCATGGGTAGCTGTTTGTTGTGCTTTGGAGTAAGCTGAGGACGCAGGAGGTGATGAGACACGCCAGTGAACACTCCGGATGGAACCCCTGGTGGGAGCTGAAGCATTCTCTGTCAGCTCTCACTGTCCCAGGCAATCTGACCCGTTTGTTCTCAGTGGTCCATCCAGATGGTCCCTTCCTTGACTCAAAGATTATTTAAGGATCGTCTACAAATGTGCACTTCAGCATCAGGACAACTCACCACCAACACACCAACAAATACTGTCACACTTGGTGAGATGAGTTCACTGGGTCGGGGCCAAGGACATTTTGATTTGGGGATCATTTTGAAGTGAAGGGCCCATGCAAGAGTGTGGCTCTTTAAGGATGCCGTGAATGTTGCACCACACCCACCCTGCTGTGGGTGCCGCACCACGCCCACCTTTGGTAGGTCCTTTTCTGTTAAGCACAGCTTGCTGCTCCTCTGTGATGTTCAGCCTCCGAACCACGTCAGCCAGCGCTGACTTGAGCAGCTGAATATCGTCCTCCTGCATCTGGACCCGTTGCTCCAGAGAGGCGATTCTGTCCGATACCTCCATGCTGCTGGCAGCAGATGCGCTGTCATCTAGACCAAAGAGAAGCGTCAGGTGAGTGAAATATGCCCCGTGACAACCAGGTCTGTACACACGCCAGGACACTGTTTGAACAAGATACAACCTACCGATCTAAGATAACGGCTTGTTGGCAAAATCACTTGAGACAGTTCACTTTACAGAACGTGGAATCTTTGTTCTGTTACTGGCATCTCACTCTCCACATGCTTGCCACATTTAAACTGAGCTCTAAACCGGCATCCTGTTTTTCTCCATGCCAGGCAATGTGTTTGCTTGTTCGCTGTATCAGAGAACCTTGGTGACTTGAGTGATGTCAGACAGTTTACTAAGTTATCAACATTGCGGAATTCCCTCTGTTTACAGTGCTGGCTGACAGGTAGTTTGTGGACAGAGGACCACATTACCCATCCATATGCTGAGCCTGTAGTCACTCAGCCTCTTGAAACCAAAGGAGGTCTGTCTAAATCCATCTCACATTTCTTAGATCCCCGACCAAACCATGGCCACATGGTCCTAGTTGTGAGATGGAGATGCACCCCGACCAAGGCGAGAATGTCAGCACAGACAGGACAGCTCCATAAAATTCAGACACAGCCTCAGAGCCTGGGATGCAGAGCTCCACTCCCGAATTAGCACAGGTTTGGGAAATGTGGCTCCACTCTTTGAAGGACAGAGCATCGAGTGGTCAAATCTGTCTGGTAAGCAAACCTTTATGTGACAGCCACGGTCATCAGAGTCACAGGTCCCAACTCCTGGCCACTGCACAGGGCTCTGCATGACCTTCCTCACCTCTCCTCATTTTTAGAATCTTCCTCCTCACTGACGGCATTCCTACCACACCACCATCCCCGTCCCCGGCATTGGTGTGAATGAGAATGGCCCCCATAGGCTCGGATGTCTGAATACTTGGTCCCTAGTTGGTGGACTGTTTGGGTAGAATTAGGAGGTGTGGCCATGTTGGGCATGTGTCACGGCGGGTGGGGTTTGAGGTTTCAAAAGCTTAGTGCTATTCCCAGTGTGCTCTCTTTCCCACGGATCTAGATGTGAGCTCTCAGTGGCTGCTCCAGCCACCCGCTGCCATGCCTTTGCTCGCCTCCAAGCTTCTGGAACCATTAGCTCGTTAGCTCGTTAGCTCGATTAAACTCTTTCTTTCCTAAGTTACCTTGTGCATGGTGTTTTATCATAGCAACAGAAACCCGAAGCTAAACCCGAAACTAAAGCTCCCTTCAGAGCCTAAAAAACATTGTGTGTGTGTGTGTGTGTGTGTATGTGTGTGTGTGTGTGTATGTGTGTGTGTGTGTGTGTGTGTGTGTGAGAGAGAGAGAGAGAGAGAGAGAGAGAGAGAGAGAGAGAGAGAGAGGATGTGTGAGAACATGTTTGCAGATGCCATGGCACACATGTAGAGGTCAGAGGACAGCTTTCTGGGATCTAGTCTCTCCTTCTACTGTGTAGGTCTTGCTGACCCATCTTGTTGGCCCAACAGACATACTTTAGATATAAAGACAGGATGAAAATAAATGAATAAAAAATAGTATCATGTAAAGTGATTAAAATTTGAGAGGCAAAGAACCATGTCACAATGCAAGGGGAGGCAACCGTAAGGAAGATGGAATAGTTACCCCATGTATCAGCAAGTCCAGCGGAAGAGGCGGAGCCTTCCACTACAAAGAGCACAGACTCAAGTCAAACCACCCAAGCTCACTACCCAACCAACCGTGTGCAAAGACACTCATCTCTAGGGTACCCCGATTTCTTCACCAGAAAAATAGGGATGACATCAGCATCTACCTCAGATGGCTATTGTAACAGTAGAGTTCTGTATCTGCTTCACTTAGAATATATCTGTACAAGCTAATGCATCAGTGTATGCTACAATTAAACTATTATTATCAATATCATCAATACAATTATCAGAGTAAAACTCAAATCTAACATTTCTTTCAAAATTCCAGAGCATTAAGCCGGGCGTGGTGGCGCACGCCTTTAATCCCAGCACTCGGGAGGCAGAGCCAGGCGGATCTCTGTGAGTTCGAGGCCAGCCTGGTCTACCAAGTGAGCTCCAGGAAA